GAGGATATCTGGTGTCACCTGGCCAAAGAAAGCATTAGCTTGTCATCTAGTCTCTCTGGGTGCTGGCTGCCTGAGACAGCAGGTATGGACTGCTTTTTTACAGCTGGATGCAGCTGTCTCCTGCCCGCGCTGTATTAGGCATCATTTATTTGGAGGGACACATCCAGAGTCATCTGCAGGAGGAAGGGGGCACCAGGATGTGGATGCCTAAGAGGAACAGGCAACCATGCTCTCTGTGTGAGCAGGATGAGGCCAGAGGTTCTGAACAGCTCATCCATGATGGGGGTGAACTGTCTGGAGCATTTCCTTACCCTCACTGAGAGTAAGGTGTGTGGGAACAGCACCAATGGCTTCCTCTGAAACCATCTCAACCAGCCAGGCACAGCCCCAGGCATACACCCTGCAAAACTCCAGGAAAATCAGCCAAGAGATCCATTTTCTCCCTCCCCAATGCAAGATGCATTTAATTCCTTCCCACACTAGCAGCCTGTTGCCCTGGGGCTGGGGGCTGCCTGTCTGACCCCTGGTACCTTTATGGCAATGAAATATATTTGCATACATTTTAGACCCACTGACATCATTCCCTTTGGAGACCTTCAGTTTTTTTATAGTAAGCATGGTAATGATTTTCAGATTATAGACTAATAAAATATTTTAATTTGTTAGGCACATTAAGGTAGGCACTGTATGATTCTTTTGACATTTAAATAGTGCTTTAAAAAAAATAAAAGGAGGGGGGGGTTTCTGCATACACTTCTATTCCAAACAGGAGCACTGAAATAGAAAGTCAAAATCCCACACATGGGTACCAAGATCAGATCTGACACCACCCCTCCGTGCCTGTTTCACTTGAATACCTGCCAAGTTAAATAAGCAAACATGGGATTGCAGTGCCCTAGTTCCAAACCTGTTTCTGGCAAGTGAACCCTGCTCCTTAGTCACTCTGGCCATGCTGTGCAGCAGTGGCCTGAGATAAGCATCAGCTCCATGTGTCATTGGGTCACAACGGGGCTGGCTCACATCACATGGGTAACACTGAGTTTTTGCACCTCAGCCTATACTCACCAGTTTCTCCCCCCTGCCCATCATGGGTCTAGAGAATCCCATTATTTCCATAACTTGGAAGGCAAACTGTGTGTCATGGGGCAGACTGCTGCAGCAGCCACTTTCCTCTGGCTGGGTAACAATTGCACGGTTTGGAGTGAATCAGACTGCAACTGGATAAAGCAGGGACATTTTGGAGGGGTAAAGCTGCCGTTGCAGGTCCATGGGTTAGTATGGCTGATAGCTCTGGAAGTCCTTTCCTAACCGGTAAAACAGGGTAATGCAATTCTATCCTTGGAAGTGTTTGAGACCAGGATGGATGGGGCTTTGAGCAACCTGGTCTGACAGGGGGGTTGGACAAGATGGTTGTTAATGCCCCTTCCAACCCAAACCATTCTATATTTCTGTGAACTCACTGACTTCTCAAAAACGCTGTGCAGGTAATGCCTTGTGCAGGGAAGCAATAAATGGCACGGAAAAGCCTGCCAGCAAAAGGAAAAGTAGTCAAATGTTTAGCTCAGTGCTAGTTACAGCTGGCAAAAGAGACAGAGGGTTACACAATGAATATGATGGTGAAGAATAGCAAAGAAGTTCCTTTGTTCCGTGAGTACTTTTGCCTTGTACCTCACCTAGATCACACGAGCTTAACGGCGGGTGATTATATGTAAAGTCTGTACTACAAGGCAGAGGCAAGAGTGAGCTCAGGCCTCCCCATTATCATTACCTGACCTTGCACGTTCTCTTTTGCAACTTCAGCATTTTTTGTGGATAGGATTTCTGGGTGGTTATTTTAAGAAAACTGTGTTAAATTTCTTGCTTCAGTGCCAGGTACCTGCTGTTTAACAAGAAGGCCATGACTAAGCATAGACTGGAAATCAGAAGCATCTATGAGTTAAAGCAATGAGATTCTGGGACTGTCTTCCCCTAGGAGCACATTTAATAGTGGTGCTTGATTATGAAAAGGATAAATCTGATGTGATTGATGCAACAGGGGATTGGATTTGATGATCCAGGGAATCCCTTCCAGACCTCTTTACTCCTAATGAATTTATTTTTGAAGAGATTTTAAAGGATATGTGGGAGGATGCAGTGCTCTACTGATGGTAAACAGTGGTGAAGCATGCAGATACCTGCTGATGGTTAGTGGGTCTCCACCCCCAGATTTAACCAATTCCCATCTATAAGAAGGTGGAACAGGTCTCTTTCCTGGTTCTACCCATCTTGAACATAAGAAGCAGAGGTGGGTACAAGGATTCTACCTGCTTCCCTCTGCATTTTCCAGCTACTGAAGACTTCCAAAATTCGCCCTGTGTGAACCAGTACCACAAATAGCTCACAGATTCCATACATATTCCTAAGGCACTTACCTGTTTCCCAACACCATAATGACTGCATCCCTTTCAATCTTTTTTTCACATCAATCTCTTTAGTGAGGATGAGCAGGGATCACCTTTTAACAGTGGGAAACTGAGGCACAGGAGAACTAACTGAATTTCCTATGGTACCAGAGGATATCAGTAGCATGGAAGTGACCTGCAGCCCAGTCCAAGGCTGATATCTCACTGCTGGGCTTTTCCTGCCCCTAACTGGGCTCTGTTTTCACAACAACAATAGCAGAGCAGAAAGTGTTTTTCAGCCCAAGCATTCACTGGTCTGGGATTCCCATCCTCTGTCAAGCCATGGGAGATGAGCTTGGGGTTTCAGGGGACAGTGCAAGGTTGTTTCAGAAGGGATGCCCAGGGAAAGTGATTACGTTCTTTCTTCCCCCGAGCTGTTTTAATTCTTTAATTCCTACTTGCTAATAAGATAAAATGCTGTGATTTCTGCAGGATCAAATGGTGCAGGATAAGCTAAGGGAGTTTATTAATTAACATGCTTTTAGAGCTGGGAAAAAAATAATAGAAAAAAAGCAACAGGGTGGGAGATAATAGCTATAAATATGGCCCTAGAATTACTACATGACACAGCAGGCAAGGGGAGGCTGTCATGTTAGTGCTGGGCATGGCACTCTGGTAGTGAATAAAAATCATAAATAAGGTAAGGCTTTCTCTCACCAAAATGTGGCTATTCATAGACATGTGCTACATTCCTCCAGGGCCTGGTCCTGCAAGTAATACCAGAGATAGCACTTCTGTCCTCCTCTGGCTTCCCCAGGGATTGCTTGGAGCAGTGAGTGCTAAGCCCAGTGGCAAGTGGTTGCAGGATCAGATTCATAGTGTGCCAAACATTTTGGATGAAAAGAGCTATAAAGAAGTCACATATTATTATGTCACATCGCAAAGGTCAACCCCAGTATTTGTTCTGTCATAAGGACATGATTGAAAGGCGAAAAAATAGTGTCAGGGCACAGGGGAAAATATTTTTTTTATAACTGCCTTCAGGGCCAAGGATACAAAATTACATCAGTGCTTAGAACTAAATTCCCATCCACACCCCACAATTCAATTTTGGCTCAGAAAGGCATAAATGTAACAAAATCACCTTTCAGAGGCACATCCTCCTATCTGCTGACATAGCCCCTGCAAAATCATTGATACCTAATCTCACACTCCCATGTGATTCTGGCAACAGTCAGGAACTGCCAGAGCCCTACTCTGTCAAATGTCCTGGGAAGGCTTTGTGAGACCCACTCAGTTGTTTAACACTATGTAGGCATTCACAGGGGCAGGAGGAGTCCTCATGATACTGGGTGATGGGATAGCTAGTCCTGTATCACCTGGTCAGGGGCATGCATCTCCCCTCACAATTCCACAGGGAGGTTTGGGGAATTGGACACCAGTAATTTGTCTGTCCCAGCTACTTTGTAAATATTTATGCCTATCTCTCTCTGGGCTTGCTGGCACAGGGAAGCTATTGAGAAATAAAGTGTGGAAACCATCACTTTCCTCCCTTAACTTATGAGGGGTCAGAACTGCTCTGCACAGTGTCTTTCAGTGGATTAGCTCAATCCACTTCCAAAATTGTCTCAAGCAAAGGCTCCTCAACTTTCTGGATAAACAGATCATTTCCTTGTGTGCCAGCAGCAAAATCCCACAGGACAACCAAGCTGGATGTTTGCCTCTCTCAGGCTCCTGCAGTTCACACCCAGCAGCATCTTGCTGGAGGAGGTTTCTGTGATGCTGTGACAGCTGGGGACACACCAGGCTGAGGATCCTACACAGAGGCTCCAGCACGCAGCAAACACCATCAGATGCTGGTTTGACTCTGTGAGAGGGAGGGCAGGGTGAACAGAGGTTTCACCAACCCTCAGCTGGCTCACGTGGTTCCCATCAGCCACCACTTTGGAAAACCCAAACTCTTTTGCTCTGTCAGAACTTCAAAGATGCACCAATCCCTTAGTGCTGTTCCTCCAGGCAAGGGGTGGGAGCAGCAGTAGGCAGTGAAAGTTGACATCCACTCAATCACAGCTGCAGACACCCAACTGGTCAGACATCGAGGATGTGTCCAGACCAGCAGACAAAAGGTGTCAGGCCTGGCATGTGATGATCCACCTGCTCAAATGCTCTGGTTTTAGTCCATGCTAATTTGAGTGCCCAAACAGCTGTTGAGAGGACAACACAGGTCAGGGACAGTCTGAGTGAGTAGTGCAAATGTCACCCTACTTAGTGGCATGGTGTGGCTTAGCTGCACAGAGACAAATCATGCTGCATTCTCTGCCATCAGAGCCCAAGGACAGCCCACACTGTCCACTAGTGCAGACACAACCTGGACACCCACAGAGAAAGGCTGCACTGAGGACTTCTGCATTCATTCCGTAATATCTCACCATACAGACAAACCACAGAGAGTCACTACAGTAGAAACATGTGCAGTTCCACCACAGACAAGAGCCCCTTCACTGCCAAATGCACTAGACCCGACCTAGTCCCAAAGCTGCTCAACCCCACGTGTCATTTCATGCTCAAGCAGCACCAGTCCCCCGCTTCCAGCTGCCCCAGGGTTTGAGATCCACTCACTGTTGCAGCTGCCGGTGGTACCAGTCTCTGTCGCTGCCACGCTGCGCTGAACTGGCCCCTCGGACGCGGCCCTTCCTGACAGTGAATGGGTGAAAACAAGGGAAGGAGACAAACAAAAGAGAAGGGAAGGGTCAGAGAGGGAGGGAGGGATGGGGGAAAATGAAGCAAGGGGACAAGAAGGGAAAGGGTATGTCTTTAACTGAACCATAAGTCTTTCACTGGCTGCAACATCCCAGCACTGCATAACCCTTCCTGCAAGGGCACGGGGCAAGTGAGACCCTCTGGCCCCAGTCACCACCACCTTGCACCCCACACCATCACCTGCACCAGTGCAGAGGGAGGGAGAGCTGGGCAAGGGTCAAGGGAGACTCAGTCTCCTGAAACTTCTTGGTCTGTGGAAACTACCTAGAATGGTCACATAGAATGTCATCCCCTGGGGGACCCAGAATTGCTCTCCAGACAAGAGAAGTTTCAGGATGCTTGAGCAGTTCCTCTGTATATGGCATTTAAGCATCCTGCTCTTTGCCCCTTGCCAGCCCTCCTGGGCATGGTGCAGGGACCCATCTGCCTCTGCCAGCAGAACAAGAACCAGGCCTCATGTCTTTGCTCAAGCAAGCTCAGGCTAGCCAGAGTTAAGGGCATCATTGGCTGAATGTCCCAGTGAAGCATCTCACACATCATCCTATGCTTGCCCAAAAGTCTTCGTCCCATCATTACTGTAACAGGCTGGAGAAGAAAATACCTAATCCCACAGCTTGCAACCACCCAAAAATCTGCCAGTGCTCACAAAACTGAAGCTTAGGAGGGGATAGGGAAGCAAAATGCTGGAGCAGAAAATACAGCATTACTTTTTCCTCTGTATCAAAGTAGGAAAGATTTGGAGAATGGGAGAGAAAAAAAGGGATAAGGATCTCAATGAGTGAATAAGGTATGCTGACTTTGTAGTGAGGTGTTTGCATTCCCACTGGGACAAAAAGGACACAAAATCCCAAGATGGAATGGCAGTTAGTGAGCATGGTGGTTTGGGGATATACTTCAGGCTGTGCTACTGAGGAGTTCAGGCTGAGAGCTGCCTGGGGAATACCCAAAATACAGCCCCAGGGTGTGTCCAGCTGGTCATTGCCCTGAGCGCCTTCCCACCCTGCACCAGCAGTGGAAACCAAGCTGCTAAATGTAGCTGACAGTTCATTTTGCTTGGGGAATTGCCCCATGAATGGCTGACTCACATCCCTTCCCAAAGAGTTGAGGTAGGAAATGGGTGGGGGAAAGGCTTAGAAAATTGTTTCATGCTGGTTGTTTAAATTACCTCTGCATTACAGTGTTACAGTTAGGGAAAAAGAAATCTATGCATAAAGCTGCATCCTAAAGCCAGCTGTGGCAGAGTCATGGACGTTGGAAAGAAGCAGAGCAAATGAAGTCATCCAGCAGTGGGGAAAAACATCAATATAATGTAGTGCAGAACAAAGCAAATTCTACCTCAAACACAGAGCTGAAAGGGAAACATCTTCCTCTGTCAGATCTATTACCATGCATTTATTCCAATAAATAACTAACCCAGAGAGTAACCCAAAACTGATTTATTCCTCCATCTAAGTAAATATGAAGAGGCAGCTGAATTTGACTGTAAAAACCACTGATCTCATATGTTTTCTTTGTATATGTTGGAAAAAAATAGGAGTGAAGTTTCTGCCTTGCTGCCAGGGGATGCTGGCAAAGTATTTGAGCTATAGATATTGTATCTTGTCACTAATGACTGCAGGGAACTAAAAGGGATTTGGATTTTTTAATGCCTCACATTAATTGATAATTTGGTCTCAGAATCCACAGTGGAACACAGGATTTGCTATATTGGATCAGTCTAGTGGCCCATAAAATCTGGCGTCTTGCCTCAGTGATGCTCAGAAAAATTATCATCCAGTGTCTTTGCTTGAAAGGTTGCTGGCCATTCCTGTAAGGCCATACAGCAGAGAGGGACAGAAGATCTCCCTGGCCTGCACAGCAAACCTTTCTAAGACCCTGAAACATGGATTTGGCAGGGCTGTATTACATACCATTTTTATGTTTGCTTTTTATGTTAAGGGAAGGAAGAAACTCTGTAACTACAATCATTTTCAACAGACATGCTGCTGGTTTTCCTCTTGGTCACCACAGTCCAAATACAGAGAAGGTGAACTTGTGTTTTCAGAGGGCAAATGAGAACATAACTGAGGCCAGAGACAGGGAAATGCCTTCTGCTGAGCAGAACAGTATCGATTAGACAGTATAAAGATTTCCCTCACTAATTCCTTTAGCAATCTTATCATGTGTTGCCCACATAATTGGATGGGGAAGAGAGAGGTGGAATCACTTAAGCGTTCAAAGCTCAACACGCACTGAGAAAAGATTCCCATTTCATGTGTGTGTGCAATTTTGTGCATCGTTGCCCCTTGATTGTACATTGAACATGCTCTCTTTGACAGCCGAGCCCTAAACAGCCTATATATTAAAGACAGCTGCTTGCAAATAGAGGCTTTCTCTGTGAGACTGGCAGGGGGAAGGAGCTCATGGGGGCTGTGAGAGAAGTAGGACTATGAAATTGAGGGGGACCAGGAGAGGAAAGCCTGTGTAAACTGACCATGAGAGAATCAGAAAGAAAACAGAAAAGCAGTGGTTTCTTTCCATGCAAGCATCTTAATTAAGGATGTTGATGAAGACACTTGCATCTCAATTTTTCTAGGGAAATCTTCAGTTTGCCTTGAAGCAAAGCATAATTTAGCCATGCTCCCACTAAACTGGCATATAACTTCTCTGCCTCCTGTTCTTTTGCTGTTCATACTGGGGGTTGGGGATGCTCCCCACCTTTCCTGACTGATGTGTGATCTCATGGCTGTACCCACAGTAAAGGAGAGCTGAGATCATCATCCTGCAGGTGGGAAGGCAGGAGGAGGTCACTGGCCAGCTGGGATGCAGTGGTTAAATGGGTCCCATAATCTATCCAAGATGAGAGGGGAGGATTTTACATTTACACATCTCAGTCTACCTCGATTATAGGTGGAAATGCTCTTCTCAAAGCATGAACAGTTCATTTCCATACGCTCAGAAGGACACATACTATTTCTGGCCCACCTGTGCCTAGAAAAATGCTGGTATGTGGTTCTCCACCTTCTTCTGCTCTAGCTGCAGTTTAAATCAGGCCACCTTGGTAGAACTCAGGAACCATCAGCTTCTCTGTCCTGCCTGCTCCTTTCTGGTGACACCACAATGGAACACGTGGATGCATCTCCACTATGGCAGAGTCTCTCTAGCTCCAAAGGAGGCATTGTGCTCTTTCCCCTGTATGTCAGTTTTCAGACTAATGGGATGTTCCAGGTGGGGGCAACAGGAGGAAGTGAGCACATTGCATGCAGGAAGCCTCTAGCAGCTGTTGGGAACCACACTTGGACAAGACAAATTAAAACAGATGAAAAAACAGGTTCACAGTCAAGGGGAGGAAAAAACTAATCAAGGATGGGTGGAGATCACAAGTAACTTCTCTTGCCCCTCTGGATCTGCTGACTGCACCCAGGGAACACTGAAAATGGAAAAGAGTCCTGCCCTCCCTAGTTAAGTTTTATGAGAAGGGAATTGCTCTGAAGGCAAGGGCTCCTGAACTCTCTGCAGGAAATTTGCTGTTTCAAGTTTTTACAGCAGAGGTGACAGACTTGTGTAATTTGGCTGCATTAAGAAGCAACCCCAGCTTTCTGAACTGAACTGAATCTTTGACTTCTGGGGGTGGTGTCACTACCCCCCACCTGGCTACATTATTTGATTGGTTACACCGAGTACTCCCCCAGCTCCCTGGAGACCAGGCAAAGTCCAGTCAGCATGGGGAAGGACTGGAAGAATCATCTCTGTTGAATCCAAACCTGCCATGTACATCACTAGATGTTTTGGGTCAGGAAATACGGAACAACAAACAATTCCTCCTTATTTGGCTACATCTGTGACCTCCACAAATGGAAGGTTAAAAACCATCAGGAAGCTAAACTGAAAGGCTTTGAACTCCCAGCCCTCTGGATCTCAGCCCAATGGTTTGGAGAAAGCAAAAGCCTCAATTCAAATGCCTGGGAATGGGACTGAGCTTTGATTGAAAGATCCTAAGTTTGATTAGCTCTCAGCACATGTATGAGGGTTTGGGGGGAACACAGAAGGGTTAAGCATGGAGGTCACTGTTTAGGTGAATATTGAGACTATATTAAACAAAAAATCTGAGCCAAATGACTTGCAATGCAGCAGCAACATACCCCAAGCAGGAGAAGAGGTGAGCATGGAGGTCAAGTACCAGAGAAGGGAGGGTTTTTTTCCCAAAAACAAACTGCTCTTTTGTGCCTGTGCTTCAAAGAAGTTGTCACCAGATTGTGAGAGCTCTTCACCTGCCACATCCCTCTCATTACTGGAATGAAATAAATGGCAACAGCATGAAAACAGCAACTCAAGCAGGAGAACGACAGGTAGGCAGTGAGGAAAAGGGGAGGGGGGAAACAGGGTGCAGATGCAGGTCTTGACAGGGTGGAGAATTAGGGCAATTACCGTTTCTGAGAAAATGCCAGGAATACGGCACAACCTAATTTCCCCAATTAATTCTTCTGCACTTGAGCTGCTTTGTGTGAAGGGCTCTTAATGTTTCAAACAGGAGGGGAAAAAAAAAAGCCTCAACATTTGTTTTTCCCTCAGTGTAGAAATGGGGAAGTGTTGAGGGAAAATGTCTGGCTAAAACACAAGATGATGCTGTTACATCTTCCATTCAGGAGATAAGGAGCTGTGCTGCAAATTCAATCTGAAGAGGTTTTTATAGGAGCCACAGAGATATCAAAGACCAGCACGTTCAATATCACACTGACTTTTCCTGCACGCAGAACACACCAGGACAGGAACAGAGACATTTCACTCATGCACCCACACTGAGTAGTTCCCTCACCTCCTCTGTTTCCAACCCTACTGCAAGTTAGGGAGAATTTGGTTCCTCTGTCCCCAAACCCCCAGTCAGGGTAGTTGTGAGCTGTTCACACCTCATGGCGCATACAGGTGTCATCTAAGCAGAACAATGGCAATGAGAA